TGTGTGTGTGTGTGTGTGTGTGTGTGTGATTACAAAAACAAGTATGTAATTCCAGTATTCTGGAGGCTTGGGTAGGAGGATCAAGAGTTTAAGGTTAGCTGGTACCAGTGGTTCATGCCTATAATCCTAGCCATTCAGGAGGCTGAAATCTGAGGATCATGGTTCAAAGCTAGCTCAGGCAGGAGTCTCATATCCTATTAACCAGCAAAAACTGAAAGTGGTTTAAGAATGCCAGATTTGAGTGAAAAATTAAAGGAAAAGTCCTAAGGAAAAATCCCAAAGCTGGCGCGCACACACACACACACACACACACACACATACACACACGTTTAAAGCCAGCCTGTGTTACATAGATTCTGTCTCAAAAAAATTAAAAACATATTTTAAAAGGAAAAACAAGCACCTCTCCTACACACCTACCAAAAAATAAATGAATAACTATTTTTTTTTTAATTTTGAAACTAGCAAGAATTGGCAAAGATCTCACACACTATTGGAGAAAATGCAAAATGATACAGCTACTTTGGGAACCAGTCCAGCAGTTCCTCAGAAAGTTATCATATGACACAATTCTATTCTTAGATATATACCCAAGAAATAAAAACATGTTCCCCACAAAAGCACATGCATTGATGTCCATAGCAGCCTTATAGACTGTCCATCATCCCATCAACTTAGGGATAAACAAACTGTAGTACATACATCTCATGGAATATTATTTAGTCAAGAAGAAGGAAAAAGACTTGATACATGCTATAACACAACTGAACTTCAGAAACATTATACTAAGTGAAAGAAGCCAGACATAAATAGTTACATGTCATATGATGTTATTTACCTGAAATGCCCAGAATAGGCAAAGACATAGAGACAGAAAGGAGATTAGTGGTTACCAGGAAAAGGGTGTGTGTACGGGGGGAGTGGGGGGGAGTTGGGAGGGATTACTTAATGACTATGGAGTGTTTTTCTGGAATGATGAAGTTTTGAAACCAGAAAGGTGATGGTTGCCCAACATTTTAAAATACACTAAATACCACGGAACTGCAGATTCTAAAACAGTTAATTGTATGTTAGATGGATTTCGCCTCAATTAAAAAAAGAAAACTTCAAATTAAAAAAGATAATGGAAACCCCAAAGCATAAACATCACCTCCCGGCCTCGGTGGCCTATGGACCCCACCCCCACCCCTTCACGCTCAGCCTGCTCAACCTTGGCCTCCTTTAGCCACCTAGCTGGGAAGATGGAGGTTTCCTGGGCTCAGAGACAGGAAGCCACTGAGCTGGGCTCATGGGGCTGCTAGGGGTCAGCAGCAGGGTCCCTCAGACCCCCCCACCCCAGACTGGAAGCAGTTGTTCAGATGCCCCCCCCACATACACACCCAAGTTGCTCCCCTGGATCCCCAGCTGGGAGCTGGTGAGGTCAGATACCAGAAACGTTTGTGCAGCCACAAGGCAGGAGTTAGTGAGTGAGGCGTTTGGAATGTACCACTGCTGAAAGGGCCTCTTGTGGCTTCTTGCTGGTTGAGGCAGGAAGGGCCTTTCAAAGTCACGTACACACACACACACACACACACACACACACACACACACACACACACACAGGCCCCAGAGACCTGTGTCCTGCTCAGCCTGCTCCCCTGAGCGTGGGGGTTGGGAGAGGGGACAGGGTGCTGCTGCTGCAGCAAGGCAGCAATGCTCTCCAGGCTGCTGCTGATCCAGTCTTCTCTGGGCCACCACCTGGCTGCCTGCCTGCGTCATCTGGTTTACCTTAGATCAGCTAAGGAGTTCAGATAGCCGCAGTTGTGTGTGCACGCACTGATGAGCATGTGTACCTGAAGTCCCAAAGAGGTTTTGTGTTCATTTGTGAATTGATTTTTACTACTGCTTGTCAAATTTTTTTTTTTTGGGGGGTGCCTGTCCTGGGGCTTGAACTTAGGGCCTTATAGTCTTGGTTTGGCATTTTTGCTCAAGACTGGTGCTCTACCATTTGAGCCACACTTCTACTTCCTCAAATTCCTCCATGTGAGGCTAAGCATGGGGGACCTTATTTTATTACCATTCTCCAGTAACTCTGAGATGTAGTTGTCATTACATCTCCATTGGAGAAAGAAACAGAAGCTCAAAACGAGAGCCAAGTACCAGTAGCTCATGTCTATAACCCCAGCTACTCGAGAGGCTGAGATCTGAGGATCCAGGTTCAAGCCAGCCAGGCAGGAAAGTCCCCTGAGACTCTTATCTCCAACTAACCACCAAAAAGCCAGAAGTAGAGCTATGGCTTAGGGGGTAGGTCAACCAGCCTTGAGCATAAAAAGCTAAGGAACAATGCTGAGGCCCCTGAGTTCAAATCCCAGCAGCAGTACACACCCACACCCACTCAAACCCACACACAAAGCTCAGAGAGATTGTGGATAGCATTCAGGTCACACAGCTTATAAGTAGCCTAACTAGAATTTAAACCCAGAACTCAGAGCTTTCTGACTCTAACAAGGATGCCTTAGAGTTTCACTGCTTCCAAAATGGCCCCCAGCCCCCTTTGTCTCTCTCATTCCTATATTCTTCATTCCAACTAGTGCTCTGTTTTCTTTTCTTTCTAGAGGAAGACACGCACTGAGGAAAACCAGGTCAAGGGAGGGGCAGGAGGCCAGGGATCACCTGAGCGCACAGCACTTTACAGCTTACGGAGCACTTTCTCATTTGTGATCTCATTTCTGCCCCACAGCAGCCCCATGAGGTCAGCAGGGAAGGTTCTTTCAGACTGGGACTAGAGGAAGGTGACCTGTCCAGGGTCACACGGATAGGAAATGGTAGCACCGAGTCTGGGATCCCAGAGGGCAAAACTGGCACCCATCCACCAAAGCTCTTCGTGGACAAAACAGGAGGAATTGTATACCCTTGGTAGTTCCCTCCTCTCTCTCCTCTCTCTCTCTCTCTCTTTCCCTCCCTCTCTCTCTCTCTCTCTCTCTGAGCCTCAAGAGAAGGGTTCATCAAGAGAAGGATTGCTGAGGGACATCTCTCTACCCTGACATGTCTGAAAAGGTGTCTCTGCTCTGAAAAGAATCTTGGCTGAGCCTGAGCTTGGAGCTCTAGACTCCTGACTTGGTCATTTGCTTTAGCCAGTCACTTAGTGCCCTCAGCCTTGGTTTTTCCCATCGTTAAAATGGGGGTAAAGATACTACCTATCTACCCAGCCCAGTGAGCCAGGTCTTACATTCATAAGGACCTTTCACCTAATTCTCCAACAAGGCTGGTGACACACAGAAAGAGCACCAATAATCAAGATGCTGGGTGCCAGTGACTCATGCCTGTAATCCCAGCTACTCAGGAGCCTGAGATCTGAGAATTGAAGTTGAGAATCAACCCAGGGAGAGAAGTCCAAGAGACTTTTCTGTCCAATTAACCAGCAAAACTTTGGAACTGGAACTGAGGGTGTGACTCAGATGGTAGGGCACCAGCCTTGAGTAAAAGAAAATGAAGCAAGAGTGAAAGGCCCTGAGTTCAAGTCCCAGTATCAACACACACACACACACACACACACACACACACACACATACATACACACACACACACACACACACACACACAAGCTGTGTCATTAAGACCTTAGGATGCCTATGCCCCTCTGTTCTCCCTGTCTGTAGAGGTGCTGAATTAAAACTTGTCATAGCTCCTGAGACTATGCAGAGTAACACAAGCTTTTTCTTTCCTCCAATAATGGGTTTTAAACTTAAGGCCTCCCATTTGCTAGACAGATGCTCTACCCCAAAGCCATGACCCCAGCCCTCTGAGTAACACGTCTCTATTGCATTATATTTGTGTGTAGTTCAAAGCATCACCTTGTTTATTGCAAGCATTTAAAATACATGGGCATTTTTGCAAGCCTGGTTTGTCATGCGTTCACTTTTAGTTTGTGTGAGTGTGTGTCTATCCTGGGGCTGGAACTCAGGGCCTGGGTGCTGTACCTGAGCTTTTTTGCTCAAGGCTAGTACTCTACCACTTGAGCCACAGCTCCACTTCTGGCTTTTTGATGATTAATTGGAGATCAGAGTCTCATGGCCTTTTCTGCACAGGCTGACTGCAAACTTTGATCTTCAGATCTCAGCCTCCTGAGTAGCTAAGATTACAAGTGGGAGCCACTGAGGCACGACTATTCACTTTTTAGTGTAGCCGAAGCCTTAGTGCCAATGCAGCCCAGGTGTTGGTACACACCTGCAATCCCAGTTCAAAGCCAGCCAGGCTACAGTGAGACCCTATTTTAACGAATGAACTGTGTGTGATGGCTAACTTCTATGATCACAGCTATGTGAGAGGCGAAGGTTAGAGGACTAAAATCTGAGGTGAGGAGAAGGGAGGTTGAGGATGCTAGCAAGATTCCGTGGTTCAAGGGGGTAGATCACCTGCTTAGCAACCATTGAGACCCTGAGTTCAAAGTCCAGTACTGCCAAAGTATCATCATCATCATCATCTCATCTTCTTCATCATCCCCATCACTTCACAATTCACTTATCGTTTCCAGACAGGCAAGGTGATTATTTCCTCCTAGTGTAGGGAAGCAGACACCCAGGCCAACCAGGGCCGCGGGCGGGGCGGGCTCGGGGTGCGCGCGGAGGGGGGGACGCGGGGAGAGGCGGGATTCCAGGCAGGTGCGCCGGGCGCGGGGAATCCTCGGCTCCACCTGGGCGCGGCGAGGAAATGGCACCATGTATGGGCAGCTACGTCAGAGGGGGCGGGCCCGCCGCGGTGGCTGGGGGACGCCGAGCGGGGCCCCCCTGACGGCCGGGAGAAAAAGGCGGCGGGCGGCGGCGGGAGGTGTCAGAAGCCGGCGCGGCGGCCGCAGAGGTGGGGCTCCGAGCGCCCCTGCCGTCGCGGAACGCCCCCACCCCGCGAGCCCGAGTGGTTCAGCCCGGCAACTTTTCATTCATAAAAAGAAAAGCCTGCGAGGCGGGCGTGAGTCAGAGCCCCAGCCGCCGACGCGGACCCCGCAGAAGCGGCCGGCCCAGGGCATGTACCGAGACTTCGGGGAACCGGGGCCGAGCTCCGGGGCCGGCGGCGCCTACGGCGGCCCCGCGCAGCCCCCGACCGCCGCGCAGGCGCAGGCGGCGGCTGAGCAGCAGGTGAGGGCGGGTCCGACGCCGGGGCGGGAAGGGGGGGGTCCCCGGCAGGGATGGCGTCGGGGACGCGGGGGTCGGCTCCGGGCGCAGCGGGCGGAGGCCGGGGTGGGGGGGATAGGACCGAGGCTCCGGCTCGGTGCGCGCCGTCCAGGGGCCGCTTGGGCCCCGACGCCTGGGGACGCGCACGGCGGACGCGCGGGCTGCGAACCCCCGCGGTCCCGTCGGCCCCTGATCTCTGGCTGGCTGTCGGTCTGTCCGTCTGTCCCTGTGCCATCGCTTGCCGTCTTTGATTTCTTCTTATCCACCGCTAAATATCCACGTCCCATCTGCCCCGGCGCTCGCCGCCACCTGGGGCTGAGAGTCCTGGGGTCGGAGGCGGTGGGGGGACTGGGCTCGGGGTGGCACCGTCGGGCGGACACCGTCAGGAAGCAAGCGGGATAGAGGCGGGATCCCCGCCGCCCGCTGGCGGCTGTCCGTACGTCGGTCCGGAGCCGGGCCCCGCCGGGCTGGGAGACACAAAGTCAGACCCCGAGGTGCGGGACGTGAGCGGGGGAGGGGGGGCGGGGGGGAACGGGGTCCCCGCAGCGCGCACGCGCCGGGCCCCTGACTCCCGGCCCTAGGTGGCTGGGGTCCCCCCCCCCCCCGCACCGGGAGCGCAGGTGCCCATTTCCTGTCGAGGGGCTGCTCGCACGTGTCGCCGGGGAGGGAAGGAGCGGCGTCCGTTCCGCCGAGTCACGGCGGCTGAGTCACCCCGGGCGCCCCTCCCTTCCTGGCCCCGAGCAGCCCGGGAAGCGACAGCTTCTTCGGGAGCGAGAGATGCCCCCCGGCGGGGCCTCCAGCCCGGAACTGGGGTCACTGGGCCGCCGTACTTGCAGCGCCAGATCGGGGACACCGTTGCCCAGACTTGCCTGGACTCGCGGGGAGCTTCCCGGATGCCCCGTCTTCCACACCCAGAGCCCAAGTGCGGGGCCTGACCCCAGTTCTCTTCCTAGCACGCCGAGCCCCCCATTCCCGAAGCTCTTCTCAGATTTCTAGCCGAAAGGGGATGGCCATGGGCAGCTTCCTGGCACCAGCCGGGGCGCCCCCTTCGTTTACCATGTTATGGACTCCTTATGGATGTCACAACCCACCAATCCTTTCAGCCGCTGAATTGATACATTGCCAATTAAACTTTGATTTCAGGGCTATCAGAGCTCCAGTTTCTCAGCATCAATGAAATGCTATAACCCTCATCTATGATAATATTAGAAGCAAGGAAACTAGTGAGTGGGTCGCAGATGGCTCTTGCCTATAATCCTACCTACTCAGGAGCTGAGATCTGAGGATCATTGTTTGAAGCCAATCTGAGCTGGAAAGTTCATGAAACTCTTATTTCCAATTAGCCAACAAAAAGCCCTAAGTGGAGCTGTGGTTCAAGTGATTAGATGGCCAGTTTTGAACAAAAAAAGCCAAGGAACAGTGACCAGATCCTGAGTGCTGGAAACAAAGAGAAAGCAAGCAAGAAAGAAAGAAAAAAAAGAAAATCAGGGCATAGTGAAGTTAAACGTTTTCTTAGATCCATACAGCCAGCGGAGAAGCTGTGATTAGAATTGAGGCAGAATCTGGAGCAGCAGCTTTTGCCTGTTACAGCCCCTCCGCATTCCAGACTGTCACACACATGCTCTGACCCACTCTCCAGTCACGGAGGAAGCTCTGTATGGTGGGTGCGAGAGTGGACAAGAACCCAGCCATCTGGACTCAAGTTCTATTTCCCACGCTGTGTCTTTGCACAACTGATCTCCTGTGTGAAAATGAAGATACTCTTGCACCATTATATGACTCACTATTTGTAAAGTGGTTAGATAGAATAGTGTGAATAAAGGAATTCACATTTGATTAAGATGAGTGCGATGGGGAAATAATCCCACAATCCCTAGAAGATAAGAGAGATTTTGTGACTAGCCCAAAGTCACATATCTCATCCACAATGATTTCCCTCCAAATTAATTTCTCTGATTGCCAATCTGTGCTCTTTCAGATCTCTCTGAAGTAAGTAGCATCTTCAACCTAAGGATGGAGAGCATTGTGTTCTGTTCCCCCAGAAATCCCTCAATCCACATAGACTTGATCCCTGACCCTCCATTTCTTATCTCTCAGAAGTTCCACCTCGTGCCAAGCATCAATGCTCTGAGCGGCAGCCAAGAGTTGCAGTGGATGGTTCAGCCTCACTTCCTAGGGCCCAGTGGCTACCCCAGACCTCTGACCTACCCTCAATACAGCCCTCCACTCCCCCGGCCAGGAGTCATTCGGGCACTGGGACCACCTCCAGGGGTACGTCGCCGGCCCTGTGAACAGGTAAGGAACAGACAAGTTACAATGGTTGTGATGACCCCACAGAGGGAGGGGACAGAGGACAAGATCTTGCTGGAAAGAATACAGGCCTAGAAGAGGGGGTGGAAGGGCCATCAGTGACTACCGCCCAAGGCAGAAAATGATGGGAATCTCTGGAGAGGCCAAGAAGGTCATTTGTGGATCGAGGAAAGTTTCCTGGAAAAAGGTGACTGTGTGTTGACCTAGGAAGGTAGTTGAATAGGTAGAACAGAAAGAAGGACCTTCATGGTAGAGGGGTGGCTGGCACAAAAATGGAAGTGGAGAAGAATGAGTATAAGGTGTTCATGTGGAGAGGTGAGAGGGTCTCCATCTGCTGGCATGCCTGGAGGGGGTGGCTTATGCTATCTGTAGTCAGGGAGGGAACAGGAACAAAAAGGTTTTCTTCAGCTCTTCTCTGGATCTGTTTCCTACTTCATTTAATATTCATTAAAAAAAAAAAACTGAGCTAGATGTTATATAATCCCAGATACTCAGGAGGCTGCGATCTGAAGATCAAAGTTTGAAACTAGCCCAGGCAGGAAAATCTGTGAGACTCTTATCTATAATTAAGCACCAAGAAGTCAGAAGTAGAAATATGATTCAAGTGGTGTAGACTGCTAGCCTTGAGCAAAAAAGCTAAGGGACAGCGTCAAGTCCAACTCCAAGCCACATTAGACTTGCATGTGTGTGAACACACACACACACACACACACACACACACACATTGTCATGGAAATTCTCTGGAAATGTACTGGAAAGATTTCCTTTCCTTTTTTTTTTTTTTTGTTGGCCAAGAGACTTGAAGCCAAGAGACTTGAACTCAGGGCCTGGGTGTTGTCCCTGAGATTTTACTGCTCAAGACTAGCTACTTGCTCTACCACTTTGAGCCACAGTGGTTAATTGGAGATAAGAGGCTCACAGACTTTCCTGCCTGGGCTGGCTTTGAACTGGAATCCTCAGATCTCTGCCTTCTGAGTAGCAAGGATTACAGGTGAGAGCCACCCGCACCTTCCTTCCATTTTCTAGCTGAGGAAGTGAAGGCACAGAGAGGTAATGTCTTTCTTGCCCAAGATCATACAATAGTGAGTAATGAAACAGAATTGGCTTGGGCCTCAGGTCTACCCAACTTTTTTTTGTTGGTCGTGGGGCCTGAACTCTGGGCCTGGGGGTACTTTGAGGGGGTCCCTCAGCTCTTCAGCTCAAGGTTACTGCTCTACCACTTGAGCCACAGTGCCACTTCCAGCCTTTCCTGCTTATGTGGTGCTGAGGAATCGAACCCAGGGCCTCATGCATGCAAGGCAAGCACTCTACCACTGAGCCACCTTCCCATCCCCTAGCCAACTCTTTAAGTTGGATCCTAACCACCTAGTCACGCTGTCTCACTGAAAACTAACAGAAGATTTTGGGCAGGGGATGCTAGGTTCTCTTGCCTCCCCAAAGCTCTTTCTAAAATAAATGAATAACAGATGGCATTCTCTTTTTCTTGAGAGAATCTCCATATGTAGCTCAGGCTGATTTTGAACTTGAGATACTTCTTCAGCTTTCTGAGTGTTGGGATTATAGTGGCTAAGATGGAATTTCTTTTCTTTCTTTATTTTTTTGGGGGGGGTCCAGTCATAGGGCCTGAACTCTGGGCCTGGGTGCTGTCCCTCAGCTCTTCAGCTCAAGGCTAACGCTCTACCTCTTGAGCCACAGCGCCACTTCTGGCTTTTTTCTTTTTGCTTATGTGGTGCTGAGGAATCAAACCCAGGGCCTTGAGCATGCAAGGCAAGTGCTCTACCACTGAGCCACCTTCCCAGCCCCCAAGATGAAGTTTCTTTCTTTTTTTTTTTTGGGGGGGGGTCCGGTCGTGAGGCCTGAACTCTGGGCCTGGGCACTGTCCCTCAGCCCTTCAGCTCAAGGCTAGCGCTCTACCTCTTGAGCCACAGCGCCACTTCCGGCTTTTTTCTTTTTGCTTATGTGGTGCTGAGGAATCAAACCCAGGGCCTTGAGCAAGCAAGGCAAGTGCTCTACCACTGAGCCACCTTCCCAGCCCCAAGATGGAGTTTCTTTAAAAAAGAATTAGTGCGGGGGCTGGGAAGGTGGCTCAGTGGTAGAGCACTTGCCTTGCATGCTCAAGGTCCTGGGTTCGATTCCTCAGCACCACATAAGAAAAAAGCCGGAAGTGGCGCTGTGGCTCAAGTGGTAGAGTGCTAGCCTTAAGCTGAAGAGCTGAGGGACAGCGCCCAGGCCCAGAGTTCAGGCCCCACGACCGGACCCCAAAAAATAAATAAATAAATAAAAATTAAAAAAAAAAAATTAGTGCCAGGGCTGGGAAGGTGGCTCAGTGGTAGAGTGCTTGCCTTGTATGCATGAGGCCCTAGGTTTGATTCCTCAGCACCACATAAACAGAAAAAGCAGAGTGGTACGGTGGCTCAAGTGGTAGAGCGCTAGCCTTGAGCTGAAGCGCTGAGGGACAGCACCCAGGCCCAGAATTCAAGCCCCATGACTGGCAAAAAAAAAAAAAAAATAGTGCCAGTCATGGGACTTGTACTTAGTTCCTGTGTGCGGTCCCTTAGCTTTTTCACCCAGGGCTAGCCCTCTACCACTTGAGCCACACCTTCACTTTCAGCTTTTTTAGTGGAGATGAGTCTAATTGGAGATGTCTCACAGATCATTATCCTCAGATCTCAAACACTAATATAACTAGGGTTATGAGCATGAGCCACCAGCACCCAGCTGAGATGGAGAGGCTTTAAAAATTGACACCTCAAGCCAGGCACAAGTGCTCACACCTGTAATCCTAACTATTCACGAAGCTGAGATCTGAGGATCTCTGTTTGAAGCCAGCCAGGGCAGGAAAGTCCATGAGACTCTTAACCTCTAATTAACCACAAAAACCTGGAAGTGGAGCTGTAGGTCAAGTGGTAGGGCATTAGCCTTGAACACAAAAGCTCAGAAACAGCACCAATGGGGGGGGAGACGGTGTGGAGGATGTTATTTTGAGACTGCAGTGAGGTAATGTGTTTCCACAAGCTTCCTTGGCTGGGTACAAATTGGGTACCTTTGGAGAGATGGGGAGTGGGTTTGGAGCCCTGGAGATGAGCTAACAATAGGATTCCTAGACATAGAAAGGCTAGCCTTTGTGACTATCTAGGAAAGGGACTTGGATTTGAGCCACAGAGGCAGGCCAGGGATAACCCATCCTGTATTTCCTTCTTTCAGCCCTATCCTGAGTGTAACCCTTGATCCTAAGTAGTACTGGGTTGAGGCTGTGAGCTGTGAGTAAAGTCCTCCTGGGAAGGTGGTCTCCTTCAGCTGGCCTCTCAACCAATGTTAATAGAGTGAGTGGATATTAATTTCTGCCCAGAACTATAAACAAGTTATTCATCTTTCCTGGACTTACCCAACCTAGGAAGTTGGGTAAGAACCTGTGATCAAGCCTGGTGGCTCATGCCTGTAATCTTACTTACTCAGGGGGCTGAAATCTGAGGATCATGGTTCAAAGGCAGTCTGGGCAGGAAAGTCTGTGAAACTCTTTTTTTTTTTTTTTGGGGGGGGGGTCCGGTCATGGGGCCTGAACTCTGGGCCTGGGCGCTGTCCCTCAGCTCTTCAGCTCAAGGCTAGTGCTCTACCAGTTGAGCCACAGCGCCACTTCCGGATTTTTTTTCTTTTTCCTTATGTGGTGCTGGGGAATAGAACCCAGGGCCTCATGCATGCAAGGCAAGCACTTTACCACTGAGCCACCTTCCCAGCCCCTCTGTGAAACTCTTATATCCAGTAAACTACAAAGAAAAAGCTGTGTAATAGAGCACTAGCCTTCAGAAAAGGAAGCTCAGACACAGTGGCCAGGCCCTGAGTTCAAACCGCAGGATCGACCCCTGCCCTCCCCCCCCAAAAAAAGAAAAAAAAACTATGCTTAGGGGTTGAAGGTATGAGTTAATATAGTGCTGGCCAGTGATCAAAAATGTTGGTTACTGAGTTTGAGTCCCAGTCTCACAGTCCCATACCCTGGCCCCCCCCCCAAAGAAAGAAAACTACCAATGCTCAGTGATAGAGCACTTACCTAGCATGTACCAGGCCCTGAGTTCAATCCCTTGTCACAAAGGGGGTAAAAAAGTCTATGTAAAAAAAAAACAAAAAAAAAAAAAACGTGGCCAGGCACTGGTGGCTCATGCCTGTAATCCTAACTACTCAGGAGGCTGAGATCTGAGGATCGAGGTTCAAAGCCAGCCAGGGCAGGAAAGGCTGTGCGACTCCTATCTCCAATAAACCACCAGAAAACTGGAAGTGGCTCTGTAGCTCAAGTGGTAGAGCGCTAGCCTTGAGCTGAAGAGCGGAAGGACAGCGCCCAGGCCCAGAGTTCAAGTGCCATAACCAACCAAAAAAAAAGAAAGTGTTTAGGACTGGGAGTGTGGCTTAGTGGTAGAGTGCTTGCCTAGCATGAAGTCCTGGATTTGATTTCTCAGTACACCATAAATAGAAAAAGCTGGAAGTGGCACTGTGGCTCAAGCACTCTATAGGAGTGCTGTCCTTGAGCAAAAGAAGCTTAGGGACACTGGGTGCTGGTGGCTCATGCCTATAATCTTAGCTACTCAGGAGGCTGAGATGTGAGGATCACAGTTCAAAGCCAGCCTAGGCAGAAAAGTCCCTGAGACTAATCTCCAATAAACCACTAGAAAACCAGAAGTGGCACTGTGGCTCAAGTGGTAGAACGCTAGCCTTGAGCTTAAGAGCACAGGGACAGTACCCAGGCCCAGAGTTCAAGCCCCAGAACTGGCAAAACAAACAAAAAAATGTTTTAAAAGTGTTTAGCTACATGTGGTTGAACGTGCTTATAATTCCAGCACTCTCTGGACAAAGGCAGGAGGCTCTGGAGTTTGAGGCTACCCTGCGCTATATAAATAGGGAGACCCCGTCTCAAAAAAAGAGGGGGGCTGGGAAGGTGGCTCAGTGGTAGAGTACTTGCCTCGCATACATGAGGCCCTGGGTTTGATTCCTTAGCACCACATAAACAGAAAAAGCTGGAAGTGGTGCTGTGGCTCAAGTGGTAGAACTCTAGCCTTGAGCTGAAGAGCTGAGTGACAGTACCTAGGCCCAGAGTTCAAGCCCCAAGACCAACAACAACAAAAAAAATGTCTTAGCCAGGGATTAGTGGCTCATGCCTATAATCCTAGCTACTCATGAGGCTGAGATCTAAGGATTGCAGTTTGAAGCCAGTCCAGGCAGGGAAGTCTGTGAGACTCTCATCTCTATGTTACTACCAAAATCCCGAAGTGGAGCTGTGGCTCAAGCGGTAGAGTGCTAGCCTTGAGAAACAAAGACAAAAACTCAGGGACAGCACCCTGAGTTCAAGCCCTGGGACTGGAATACACACACAAAGTCTACCTTTGGAGGTTACTGGTAGAACCTTGGCATGAACATGGCCCATGATTCCACCCCAGCACTGCAAAGGCTGGGGAGAAGTACCTTGCCCTTTTACCTGGATACTGACAACATGCCTGCCATATAGCAGAAGGTTTAACTGGCACACTGTATGCAACTAAGAAATCACAACTTAGCACACAGGAGCCTCTCCTAGTCTGCATGGTTCCTGCAGGAAGGTATTTAGAATCTTCCACAGATTCAGAAGATGAGGGCCCTGGGAAAAGGGGGTAACTCTGTCCCAGGGGACTCATAAGAGGATTAAGGCCACATCTGGCTGGGGAAGGAGAAGGCTTTCTGGAGGTGAAGGCATCCTAGTGGAGTTCCTAGGGAAGCAAGTTGCGGGTTTGGGATCATTACGAGAGAGAAGCTTGAAGTGAGGAGGAAATCTAAGTACTTATTTACTTGTTTTGCCAGTACTGGAGCTTGAACTCATTTCTTGGCTTTTCTCACTCAAGGCTGGTGCTCTACCACTTGAGCCATACCTTCCAGTTCTCAATGAGAAAATTAAGCTAGTTGGGGTGCAGGTTGAAGCAGAGGGACCCACACAAAGGGAGAACTCGGGACAGCATAGCCTGGGGGCTCCCTCACTTTTACCCTCTTTCCCGACTCCCCAGATCAGCCCCGAAGAGGAGGAGCGCCGCCGAGTGCGGCGGGAACGGAACAAGCTGGCCGCGGCCAAGTGCCGAAACCGGAGGAAGGAACTGACCGACTTCCTACAGGCGGTGAGCCCCGGCCCGGGGGGAGTGCCCACCGAGCCTGAGGGGTGTGTGCGCGGGGAACCTCGGCTCCCTGGAGCCCAAAGCTGGTTGGCAGTCTTCTAAGATGCCCCGGGTCCGTTGGCAATCGTGCCCATTTTTCTCCCAGGGGCTCATGGGAATTGCAGTCCAGAATTGCCGAGGCCTCCGGCCCCCACCCCCACCCTGTCAGAGGCGTGAGGTCTCCGTCCTTAGCTTCCCTAACCCCTCTCCTGATCCTCTACAGGAGACTGACAAACTGGAGGATGAGAAATCCGGGCTGCAGCGAGAGATTGAGGAGCTTCAGAAGCAGAAGGAACGCCTGGAGCTGGTGTTGGAAGCCCACCGCCCTATTTGCAAAATCCCGGAAGGAGACAAGGACAGAGACACAGGAGGACCCAGCAGTGCCAGTGGCACCAGCAGCCCACCAGCACCCTGCCGCCCTGTACCCTGTATCTCCCTTTCCCCGGGCCCTGTGCTGGAACCAGAAGCTTTGCACACCCCTACCCTCATGACCACACCCTCTCTGACTCCTTTTACCCCCAGTCTGGTTTTCACCTATCCCAGTACCCCAGAGCCTTGTGCCTCAGCTCACCGAAAGAGCAGCAGCAGCAGTGGGGACCCCTCCTCTGACCCCCTGGGATCCCCTACCCTCCTTGCCTTGTGAGACACCTGCTCATGCTCTGCAGGTGCTACTTTAGCTATTTCCTTTCCTCTATTGGTCCAGCTGGTCCGGACCCATACCATGCTCAGTGCCAACTGGTCTTCCATTCCTCCAGATGAGACAACATAGTCTGATTCAAGGTAAAACCAGCTTAGGGCAACCAAAACCACCCACTATTTCTTTGGGGTGAGGCTGGTCTATTACAACATGCACTTAATCAGAGATAAAAATATTTCCTGCCAGCGGCTCACACCTGAAATCCCAGCTTCAGGATCTGAGGATCACAGTTCAAAGCTAGCCCAGGCAGGAAAGTCTGTGAGATTCTTCAGTTAACCAAAAAAGCTCTAAGTGGAGCTGTGGCTCAAATGGTAGAACACTAGTTTTGATCAAAGAAACACAGGGACAGCACCCCAAGGCCCTGAGTTCAAGCCCCTGAACTGGCACTGTGTGTGTGTCCCATTTGTGCCAGAGTAATCCTGGCAGCCAAGACTGCGGATCCCCAGAGGTTCTCTGGGGCTCTACCTCCTGGCAGACTCCATCACCCGCTTCCTGTGGTGCACCCAGAATGACGCTGACAGAGGTGCCCTTTTACAAGCCTAAAACACTAATTCATCCAGCCCCACTTCCAGCAGCACCAGATGATTGGACTAGGGGGATCTGCGGACTCTTCCTGAACCGGCACAGCTGAGGAGGTGCCAGAGGGCTTGGTGAGGAGCTGGTCGGCAGCCCCCAGCTCTGAGAAGCCTTTAGCGCCTGGGAATCCAAGCTTTCACAGAGAAGACAGCTATTTATTTTCCTAAAGAGAATATTTTTATACAAACCTGCCAACATGGAATAAAAGGCTTGAAGCTCTGGCCTGGGTGTCTGCTTGGATCCAGAGACTAAAGGACACCACGGGAGCTAGATGGCCTGAGTTCCGGCCTCCGCCCCTGACTCACACTGCACGGCCTTGGACAAACTTCCCGTACTTTGGGACCAGGATTGGCTTATCTGATGAATGGGGTTACATCCTCCTCTCCTCCACGGAGAGAATGCTCTGGGATGCAAGCAAAGAGGATTATCATCCTTCTCCTCATGGGGGCCCACAGAGCCGCGAGAGCACGCGGGGTGGGGTGGGGGTTGTGCTGCGTCCCCCTTCCACGCTAAGCACCCAGCCAGTGGGTTTTAGGCCCCCAACACCTGCTTCCTGCCCCATTGTCTTGGACAGGAAGGAGCCGGGAAGGGAGCTAGAGCCACTTCAGGGGCGGGATGACTGCCCGTCCTGGCGCCCAAAGGGGGAAGTCAGTGCTTTACCACTGTCCCATATTCTGCCCCAGATAATGGGAGTTCACAGCCCCTCCTGACGGGAGCGGTACACTGTCCAGGCGTTCCCGCCCTCTCCCCAACCCCGGCGAACCTCAGACAAATTGCCCAGACTTCGGGCTCCGCTTCGGTCCCTGTTTATTAGTTCCCCCCCCCCTCCAGCCCCCTCCAGTAAGTCCCACCAATCACACCTCCAGTCCCCCCTGCTGCCCCGCCAGCGAGTGCGAGGGGCCCTCTCTAGCGCCAGGGCTTCTCAGGCCCCGTCAGCGGCTCCAGGTGCACCCCCCCCAACCCCCGAGGACGCGTCCTAGTTCGGGGGTTCACAGCAATCGCAGCGCTCCGGGAGCAATCTGGACGGGCGCCGCGTGGAAGCAGCAGCTCCCTCAGTCATCGGGGGAACAGGCCAGGGGCAACTGATCGGGGCTGCCCACGCTGCCGGTGCTGGAGCTGCCGTCGCCTAGATCGCGGGGCCCGCAGGGGGGCAGGGCGAGCTCCGGTGTCGGCGCGGCGCCCGAGCCCCCCGCGCCGCCACTGCCGCCGCGGGGCCCCCACTCCTCGCCCAGTGCCAGGCAAAGCTCCTTCAGCGCCAGGTTTTCCCGCAGCAGCTCCTCCTGGCGGCTCTCCAGCTCCGCTAGCTTCTGCCAACAGCCGCCCAGGTCCTCGCGCACGGCCCGGGAGGCTTGGGTCCCGAAGAGCTGCCACTGGCGCGCGGCGCGCCGCCCCCGCTGGCGCTCCGAGTCCAGGAAGCAGCAGAGGTCGCGCAGCTCGCGGTTCTCGGCCTGCAGGCGCCGGTTGAGCTGCTTGAGCTCGCGGATCTCGCCCAGGTGACCCTGCAGCTGCCGGTTCACCTCCTGCATCAGGCGGCCGCGCTGCACCAACGCCGCCAGGCGCGCCGCCTCCTCCCGCCGCAGACGCCGCACCAGCTCTTCCTTGCCCAACGCCGCCATCTCCTCATCTGTCAGCTCCTCCAGGCCGCCTGCCTCGGCCTCCATGGCTGGTCAGGCTGCTGGAGCATCGCCCGCCCGCCCCCGCGGCCCGGGAGCCCCTCGTCAGGCTGGGCACCGATCCGGCTCCCGCTCAGACTCCGCAGGCGGCCGGCAGTGGCGGAGGCAGCGCCGGCTGCAGCAGCCACCCGGGGGTGGGCACGAGGCGAGGCGCGCGCGGGGGCGGGGGCTGATGGCGACACGCGAGGACAGCCAATCAGGAAGCCTGCCCGGAAGGGGGCGGAACCCGAGCGCCGGGCGCCCCTTCCCTCCCACTCGCGACCCCCGCAGTGGAGACCGCCGCGCACAAGGATTTCCCTGCGCCTTGTCCTCCTTCGATGATCAGAATCCGGTTGAAGGCACTGCGTTCCTCCAATTTGCACATCTCCTTAAGCCCGAGCTTAGACCTCTCAGCCACCTTTTTTGAGACCCAAGATTGGGGGTGCCCAACCGTGACTCCCCACCACCACTTGAAGGATTACAGACTAACGGCCTCCCTCCTTCCTTGGACATGGAGAATCTTGGATAAACGTCACTCCCAGCTCCTCTGAATCTTAAATCCAAACGCACTGACTCTACCAAAAAACTACACTCCCCCCCCCCCCCTCCGCCTCCCTTCCATGGAGGTTTCCTGTTTCCTGAGGGCAACTGGGTGGGGAGACATCCAAGAGATTCATTTGTTCAGTAAACCTTTATTGTGTGTAATGCCCACGCAGAAATAAATTTGGCCAAGATTCTGATCTTGATCCCTGAAGAGGTTCTAGCAGTCTGTCAGAGGAAAAAGCAAAAGCAAATGAAGGCAGAAGACTGGAGTATAGCTGCAAGCACTAAGCCTGGGCTTATTTCCAGCATTGGGAGAGGGAAAAAAGGAAAGGGAGAGGGTGGGGCAAGGGAGGACCACAGTAGAGTCTCTGGAATTGACAAGAGTCGATAGCTTAGGGGCCCTGAAAGATTTATGACTTTTCCAGGTAAAAAGAAGGCTATTTAAGTAAGAATGCTGATTTGGAACCATGACCAGCCTAGTGGCTCATGCCTGTAATCCTAGTTACTCAGGAGGCTGAGAACTGAGGATTGAAGTTCGAAGCCAGCCTGGGCAGATAAAGCCCTCAAGAATCTCTTATCTCCAATGAACTACTCAAAAAAGCCAGAAGTGGCACTGTGGCTCAAGTGGTAGAGCGCTAGCCTTGAGCACCAAGAGGCTCAGTTTGATGTCCTTATTCAAATGTAGGGGAAGCCAGGTTCTTGCATACCCAGGATTAAACTCAGGGCATGAATTGAGATCTGGATTGCTCCAGCTCGAACTCCACCACTGTAGCCATACATCCAGACTTAGCTTTCACTGGTTATTTTGGAGATGGAGCCTGACACTTTTCTTCTTGGGTTGCCTTTGACTTGTGATCCTCCAGATCTCAGCATCCTGAATAGCTAAGATTACAAGCCAGGGACATAGTCTGTATCTAGTTAGAACCCAGGTTCTTAAAACCTTTTAGTACTTGATTGGAGAGTGACGAATTGGAATTTTGAACAGTAATTTTGTCCTTTGAGATAGGGTCTTAGGTGTGTAGCCCACGCTAGCCTCCCCTAAAGTGGTATTACAGGCATGCACCACTACACCTGCAAGAGCGTAACATTTTTAAGTCTGCATTTTAAAAAGATTGTTCAGCAGCTGTGTGTGGGATGGACTCTGAGGGGAAGGGAGGTGAAGGCAGGAAGCCTAGTAACACTGTGTCAATGAGCAAGTAGAACTAGGCTAAGACTAGGCTGGGGCTGAGTCACAGGAGCGGAGGAGACCAAACAGATACTAGAAATGCTCAAGAGGCAAAAGAGAAGCAAATGTGGGAGAGAGAAATCTGGGAGAAAGTCCAGGTACCTAGTATGCAAACTGGGTGGATGTTAGGACTGTGACGGAGATAGGGACCAGGAAAGAAGCAGATTGGGGATAGCGAGAGTTCTGTCTAGAGTGTGTTAAGCTTTATGTGCGTGGTGCTGGAAATCCAACCTAGCGCTTTGCCCCTGGCTACAACCACATCCTGGGTTGAGTTTTGGAGGGGCTTGGGGCAAGACCATGTGGGAAGACTTGGCAGATAGGCAGCCCTGCAAATGAGGACTTGAGACAGATCTGAGGGACAGAGTAAGAGGGTATGAATTAACTCGTACAGAGGTGAAGAATGTGGTCAGAACTATGGCAAGCCGGGTGCCGTTGGCTCACGCCTGTAATCCTAGCTACTCAGGAGGCTGAGATCTGAGGATCGCGGTTCAAAGCCAGCCTGGGCAGAAAAGACCATGAGACGTCCATTTCCAATAAACCACCAGAAAACCGGAAGTGGCGCTGTAGCTCAAGTGGTAGAGTGCTCGCCTTGAGCTGAAGAGCTGAGGGACAGCGCCCAGGCCCAGAGTTCAAGCCCCACGGCCGACAAAAAAAAAAAGCCTAACCTATGGCAAGTGGCCCATGCCCAGGAGAGGGGCTCAACTGTAGGTTGTACATAAAAGTAGGGCTACACACATATTTGCTGAGAAGAGATGTAGGAATCGAGGCCTTGAAACTGGAAGTGTAGGATAAAGGTCAAAGTTAGGAGGCCCTGAAGAAGGCAGAGAAAGTAGGAGAAAACACGGAAGTGAGAGACAAATCTGCAGGGCAGGAGAGACGCGGCGGAAAGCACCCTGGATGTCCTCTTCAAGAGCGGGAGTCCTCTCCCGCAGCAGCAGCTGCTATTCCGCAGCGCAGTCTTTTTCTTCCCAGGCAGGGATTTCTTCCCGGGCTACTTCCGCTCCGCTAGCCCCGCCCCGGAAGTGGTCCTTCATTGGCTCCGGTCGAGGGGGAGCGGAATCTCGGAGCTCCCGGAAGTGGCTCAGCGGCGGCGCGCCCCGGGCTGGGCCCGCGCTCCGTCCAGCTCCTGGCACCCCGGCAGCCCTGGCACGCCGGGCGGGGCCTCGCCATGACCAGCGAGCTGGACATCTTCGTGGGGAACACGACCCTTATCGACGAGGATGTGTATCGCCTGTGGCTGGATGGTTATTCGGGTCCGTGAGTGGCCGGTCAGGAGCAGCGGTTGTTTTGGATGGGAGAAGGGGCGGGACCAGGCCTCGTGCATTCTTTAGAGTTCGCGGGCAGGTGGCTGGGAATAAGGGAGGGAGAAAGATTGGGGCTGGAAGCTCTGCAGCGTCTCTGGGGTCGGCGAGATAGGGCTTGATCCTTGTGCCCACCCTCCAGTGAGCGACGCGGTGGCTCTGCGAGTGCGTTCGGGAATCCTCGAACAGACGGGCGCCACGGCAGGGGTGCTGCAGAGCGACACCATGGACCACTACCGAACCTTTCACATGCTCGAGCGCCTGCTGCATGCACCGACCAAGCTGCTACACCAGCTCATCTTCCAGATCCCTCCCTCCCGGCAGGCGCTGCTCATTGAAAGGTGCTCACCCGGTGTGGTGACCTATATTCATTTTGCAAGCTGAAACTGAGGCCCAGGGAGGGATGGAACTTCACCCAAGGAACCCAGAAAGTTGAGAGAAAGGAACAACTCAGGCCCCCTTTTCCCTCCTTTATGAAGGGTCAGTGGTGTCCTCTGCCTCTACAAGGTACTACACCTTTGACGAGGCCTTTGTTCGGGAAGTCCTGGGCAAGAAGTTATCCAAGGGCACCAAGAAGGACCTGGATGACATCAGCACCAAAACAGGCATCACGCTTAAGAGTTGCCGCAGGCAGGTGAGTGCTAATCCACACGTGTATCACATCCCATATAGTTCACTCATTCCCTCCATTCCTTTGCACACTTGTTGCATTTTGTCCCTTTTTTTCTTTCTTTCTTTTCTTTTTTTTGGGGGTGGGTGTGGGTTCTCAGTTGTGGGGCCTGAACTCTGGGCCTGGGCGCTGTCCCTCAGCTCTTCAGCTCAAGGCTAGCACTGTACCAGTTGAGCCAAATTCCACTTCCAGCTTTTTCTGCTTATGTGATGCTGAGGAATGGAACCTAGGGCCTCATGCCTGCAAGGCAAGCACTCTACCACTGACCCAACCTCCCAGCCTTACGTTTTGTCCCTTCTATATGATCAGATCTGACCATGACTTTCTCTTGATTATATACTTTCATTGGCTCTCATTGCCTCCAGGGCGGCAGTGTACTATTCAGACTTCCCTGTGATTTGCTTCCCTGTGATCTGCAGGTCAAATCCTTTTAGGTTTACATTTCTTCAGTCTCAATCTTCATTTAGATTATGTTGTTGTTACTTGGAAAGTACAGTTCTTGCCCATATCTACCATTTGAATTTCAGGGCATGGCACTGGTGTGCTGCCTTCTCCACAAGCCTTTGTGGTAGTCCCAGGGGTAGTGCCTTTCCTTAGTGTCTGTCACGAGCTCTCCATGTACAGCTTAGGATTTGCTCATTTTGAGTAATTTGGACTTACCTAGGAGAATCCATTCTGGTTCAAGCTTATGGAGAACCAAAGAGCAAGGCTGGAACAGGACTGAATTAATAATAGAGAATAGTGTTTACTCAAGTCCAGATGGTAGAAGCAAACAAATATCTGTTGAATTGATAACTGCTAATAATAACAAGTAGTTATTGAAGGAATAGCTGCCAAGGGCTGGGAAGGTGGCTCAGTGGCCAGAAGTGGCACTGTGGCTCAAGTGGTAGAATGCTAGACTTGAGCTGAAGAGCTGAGGGACAGCACCCAGGCCCAGAGTTCAGGCCCCACGACCGGACCCAACAAAAAGAAATAGCTGCCAACTGGAGAGGCAGATAAGAGGGAGGGGGGTATTGAGTGAGCATTGATTGGCTTTTGACCAGTTCCTCTCCTCCACTAACCGCTCTGCAGTTTGACAACTTTAAGCGAGTCTTCAAAGTGGTGGAGGAAATGCGGGGCTCCCTGGTAGATAACATCCAGCAACACTTTCTCCTCTCCGATCGGTTGGCCAGGTGAGAGGCCAACTGTCTCCCATCAGTACATGCCTTCCCTAGTCCTTGAACCTGTTACACTTCAACTCTTTCACCTCCTGGCTGGGGTGGGGAGATGGTAATTCCACTTCTGGAGGTTAATGGGAAATAAAAGTCTTAGGGAGGAAGTGGCGCTGTAACTCAAGTGGTAGAGGGCTCGCCTTGAGCTGAAGAGCTGAGGGACAGCACTCAGGTCCAGAGTTCAAGCCCCACGACCACCAAAAAAAAGTCTTAGGGACTTTCCTGTGCAGGCTTCAAACTGTGATTCTCATATCTCAGCCTCCTGAGTAGCTAGGATTATAAGTGTGAGCATATAATGTGAGCACCCCACATTATTTCATTTATGATCTGTACTACAGATCAGGCTGACTTAGGTTCAGATCCTAGCCTGGTTATTTTCTACCTGGGCTTTTATGCGATGGCACTTAGGAAGTATGGAGACATGATAGCTGCTACTATTCACTGTGTCTCTTAGGAAACTGGGCTGAATCTTCTCTCTGCACTGTTGAAGAGCCCCATAAGAGGTAGTTATGGGAGGGTCACACAGTGGGGAAAGAAAGGCCAGAACTCAGATGGCCAGCCAAGGTTGCAGGTGGAGGCTGCTTGACAAGAAGAAAACTGTTTTAATCCTACAATGTATATTGAGTGAGATAAATATGAAGACATCATTGTAGGCTTAGTAAGAAAGGATTTCAAGTCTTGAGAGGACCTACACTGTTCGCTGTCTACAGGGACTATGCAGCCATTGTCTTCTTTGCCAACAACCGCTTTGAGACCGGGAAGAAAAAGCTACAGTATCTGAGCTTCGGCGACTTTGCCTTCTGTGCTGAGCTCATGATCCAGAACTGGACCCTTGGAGCCGTCGGTGAGGCCCCCACCGACCCAGGTGCCTGGACCCTTCCCACCCTCTCAAGGCCTGCTTCCTCACCAGCACTTCCTTCTCCAGCCCCCTGCGTCTCAGTGTCCTTTCTTCAGGTCTCCACCCAGACCTCTGCTTATGTAGTCTACTTCTCTCCACCCCACCTTGTCTGAGACCAAGGACTCCCTCTGTCTGGCCTGGGGCATGTTATTCCACCCATGAGACCCTGTTTCTTCTTCTGTCCTGTGGGGCGCAAGGAGGTGGTGGTTGAGAAAGGCTCTGGCTGTTGTAGATGAGTTTATCACTCACCCCATCTTCCTTCATGCAGACTCCCAGGTGGATGACATGGATGTGGACTTAGACAAAGAATTCCTCCAGGACTTGAAGGAGCTCAAGGTGCTAGTGGCTGATAAGGACCTTCTGGACTTGCATAAGAGGTGACCTTGGGATTCCATGGGAACAGAACCTGCAGTGGGGGCAGAGGTGATTGTAGTATGCTCTCTTTTTCCCTCAGCCTGGTGTGTACTGCCCTCCGGGGAAAGATTGGTGTCTTCTCTGAGATGGAAACCAACTTCAAGGTCTTTAGCCCTTTCAGCCCTCTCCCCTGGGGAATCTTCAGCTTCTTGGGTCATAGGTTGGCCAGCAGATGGCACTGCTGCTCCCTGTCCACTTATAAACAAAGGAACTTGATTGGGGGGAGGGAGGGTGTTTGGGGGGACAGACCAGCCTCCAGGCTCAGCCCCCAGAACTCCTAGGATCCTTGCCCCACAGAATCTGTCCCGAGGACTGGTGAATGTTGCTGCCAAGCTGACTCACAATAAGGACGTCAGAGACCTTTTTGTGGACCTGGTGGAGAAGGTGAGCTGTGCTGCCTGCTACCCTCTGATCCACACCTGTGCTTTTCCCGAGTCGAACTGGGGATGGTAAATGTTCCCTTGGGCCCACAGTTTGTGGAACCCTGCCGCTCTGACCACTGGCCACTGAATGATGTACGGCTCTTCCTGAATCAGTATTCAGCATCTGTCCACTCCCTGGATGGCTTCCGGTGAGAAACCACAGGCCTCCTGTCAGCTTGTCCTGGCCCCAACCAACCAGCCTCCTGGGGCCTCACTCCCCCCTCCCCCACATATGCACCCTTGGGGATTTACCTCAGTTTCCTCATGTAAAATGCTACTGTAAGTAGAAGAATCATAAGAATTTATGATTTGTGGGTGTAACTCAGTAATGGATCACTTACCTAGCATATTCAAGGCACTGAATTCAATCACCAGCACCACTAAAAAAAAAAAACAAAGCCAAAGCCAGGCCCTAGTGGCTCATGCCTGTAATCCTAGCTACTGAGGAGGCTGAGATCTGAGGATCATGGTTCAAAGCCAGCCTGGGCAGGAAAGTCTCTGAGACTCTTATCTCCAATAAACCACCAGAAAACTGGAAGTGGTGCTGTGGCTCAAGTGGTAGAGCGCTCGCCTTCAGCTGGGACAGCACCCAAGCCCCACAACCACCACCAACAACAACAAAAAACCAAGTGCCAGTGGCTCAGGCCTGTAATCCTAGCTTCTCAGCAGGTTGAGATCTGAGGATCATGGTTCAATGCCAGAAAGTCTGTGAGACTCTTGTCTCCAATTAAGCACTGCTTCCCCCCCCAAAAAAAAAAAAGCCAGAAAGTGGAGCTGTGCCTCAAGTAGATTGCTAGCTATGAGCAACAAAGATAAGGGATAGCACCCAGCCCCTGAGTTCAAGTTCCAGGACAGGCACCACCACCACCCCCCCAAAGAAAAAAAAGGAATTTCTGAGGATTTAATAAGGTATAGGAAACACTTGCAGCCATCTCCAACTCAGGGTTTAAGTGAACATCTGTCACTGTTGCCGTTTTCATTTCAGGCACCAAGCCCTCTGGGAACGCTATATGGGCACCCTCTGTGGCTGCCTCCTGCGCCTCTATCATGACTGAGGCCCTCTCCCTCCATCCTGAACACAGTGACAATAAAATTGCCATGAGTTTGGAGACCAGTCCTGGTTCCTGGGGAGGAGCCCACAGGGCCGTGGGCAGCGTGCAAGTATATCCTGAGTGCCATGGCTTTTGAGCATGAGGATTCCGTGTACATCAGCCCCTCAGCGACCGGGTCAGATCAGGGTGGTCAGTGCTTTCCTGGCCCCGCCCTCTCCAGATCTCAGCTGAATCTACTAAGGAGCCAGGGGTATTATCTTGGTTTATTGAAGCCATAAAGAAGCCATAGAGAAAAGATGGCAAAACCTCACGATGAGTTTGGCAGGGAAGACAGCTGGTGTGCTGGAGAGGCTGAAGGGTGGCTGCCCCGCTCAAGGAGGGCAGTTGACTTGCTGCTTAACTGGTTGTTCCACGCGGGCTGTGATCGGATACTTGGTGATACCACAGGCATTGCTCCCCTTGTGGAGCCGGAAGTAGCCCTAGGAAGTTTAGGGACATTAGGGCCAGAAGGTGGAAGGGGCCTGTTCTGCCCCGCCCCTTCCCCATTGGGTCAGACTCACCTTCTCACCCCAGTGGGCCCCCCAGGAATTCTTCAGGATCCAGAATGGGGTGGAATGACTGGGATGACAAGATCCCGATGACACTGTCTTCTCTGCCTTGCTTTTACCAAAACCCACCAGCAGGACACAGTGGTCTACAAGTTGAGGGTCACAGGTGGTGCTTGTGGCTTTGATCACACCCTGTCGGTAATGCTGCAGGGGTAGAGGCAGAGGGGCTGAATCTGGGGTCCCCTTCTTCACATGGCCCTCCTCCCACTCTGCCCCACTTACCTGTAATAGGGCCTTGTTGATGGTCACAGTGATAGGCCCCTGGGTGGCCAGGTACCGAGCAATTTCTGAAGATAGAGAATGCTGTCAGGCTCTGCTGCTCTTGGCACATGGGCATGTTCCTCGTGCCACTTGTGTGTTGTGTGTCTTTTCCCCAGTGTCACCATCACCCCCTGCCCCCCCCCCCCCATCTGTAGCTAGGTCTGTCTGCCTCTGTCTGGCATCTCTTTTCCTCATCACCCCCACGTCCCCACCCGGATCTCACTTTCTTCATTGTCTGGTAACATGATGAAATCCTGGATCCAGGCCACCTTGGTGTACTTCTTGGCCAGGCACCTGTTTGGTTTGGCACGGCCTAGGTATGGGTAGTCCTTTTCACTGGCCAGACCACCTGGAGACAAGACAAGGGAAGAGTCCTGGTTCCTGATCCCCGCTACACGTCCACATGCACACCTCTGCAGCCACCCAGTGAGCCCAAGTACTCACTGTCGTTGAGGACAGTTATGAACGCGTCCCAGACGAAGCCACCCTGGCACCCATCTCCACAGCGGCCACAGTCAAGCAGCTCTGAAGGCAGAAAGGGACCGTGAACAGGCCCTTCATCTACCCTTCCCTCTCCCCCATCCTCCTACTTCCCAGCATACCTTGCACCGAGAGTTCTACAGACTGTTGTGTCTTGATGCCCCACTGGGCCTCGATGTTGCCTGCTGCCGCCATGGCCCAGCAGGATTGGCAGTTCTCCTGGTGGGTTAGATAGTAGGGTAGGATAGGGCATCCAAGTCTTGGCCTTCTTCTACCCCTTGGGCTGGGTAAGGCTGAACTGGGTGGGGCACATACCTGGTTCTTGATGGGTGAGATGATACCAGGCTTCTTCCGCCAGTCACAAGTGTGGGGCACCAACTCCCCCCAGTCTTCAGACCCTACCTTCCTCTCCATGCTGAAGTCTCCTCCAGCTGCCCTCCAATTCCCATAGAGCTGATCAAACTCCTCCTCTGGGAACAGAGCCATAGAAGTCACAGATTTGACACTGCCCCCCCCCCTTTTTTTTTGCCAGTCCTGGGGCTTGAGCTCACAGCCTGGCACTGTCCCTGAGCTGCTTTTGCTCAAGGCTAGCATCACTCTATCACTTGGGCCACAGCACCACTTCCAGCTTTTGCTGTTTATGTGGTACTAAGGAACCAAACCCAGGGCTTCGTGCATGCTAGGCAAGCACTCTACCATTAAGCCACCTTGCCAGCCCTTGTGTTTGTTTTTTTTCTTTGGTTGTGGGACTTGAACTCAGGGTTCTGGATGCTATCCCTGAGCTTTTTTGCTCAAGGCTAGCTCTCTACCATTTCGAACCATAGCTCCACTTCTGGTGTTTTGAGCGGTTAATTGGAGTTTCACCAGGACTTTTGTGCTAGGCTGGCTTCAAACCTCAATCCTCAGATTTCAGCCTCCTGAGTGGCTACAATTATAGATCTGAGCTACTAGCTGGGCTACTTCCAGCTTTTTGTCTTTTGATTTTTTTTTTTTTTTGGTCGGTCATGGGGCTTGAACTCTGGACTTGGGCGCTGTCCCTCAGTTCTTCAGCTCAAAGGCTAGTACTCTACCACTTGAGCCACAGAGCCACTTACAACATTTTCTGCTTATGTGGTGCTGAGGAATCGAACCCAGGGCCTTATGCATGCAAGGCAAGCACTCTACCAGTGAGCCACCTTCCCAGCCCACTACTTCCAGCTTTTTGATGGTTAATTGGAGATAAGAATCTCTCAGCCTTTCTTTCCTGGCCTGGCTTCAAACCAGGATCCTCTGACCTCAGCCTCCTAAGTAGCTAGGATTACCAGCATGAGCAACAGACACCTGGCTACTCCACTCTTGATACCTTCTCCCACTCCAGCTAAGCGCATCCTTAGTCATTTGCATCCCTGTATCGGATGCATCAGGCAGAAATACTGAGTCCTCTAGTCTGGTTCCTGAGCTGCCTTGGATGCAGGCCAGCAGGGCTCCTGCTCCTGAATTCTGGGATGGAACAGATACCTAGTTTAGTGCTTCAAGTGGACACTATTCGGTTTATCTGCCATATCCCTAGAAAATTGCTTCTTTGCTCGCTGCCTACAGTCCAGGGGAGTCTCAGTACCTGTGAGGTCACTGAATGGAGTCACCCCAAACTCAGCTGTGCCCAAGTCCTCTTCTTGTAGCCGCTGAGCCCGGATCAGGTTGTGGGCAAAGATGTCCAGACGGCGAGCATGCTCTGGACCAAAACGGATTTGTCTCAGACTGACTCCCTAGAGGCAGGAAGTGGCCACTGGCTGGGCTTCCGGCCACCCACCCCCACCCAGGTGAGCACAGACTCCTTTTCTGTAGCCTCCAGAGTTTCCACCGTAGACACTGGGCCCAGGAAGTGGTTATCCAGTTAAGTGTTAGGGCCCCCAAGGCAGCAAGGGGGGCATCTGCCCACCCTGAGAAGAAGCAAAACCCAGAGTCCGGAGGCAGTGACTCAGAGGGGGAGATTGAGTGAGTAGCTAGGGACAGGCTTGCGCCCTGCCACCATTTTGTCCACCTTTTCACACCTCACATCGGAAGCTGCAGCGGGGAGGGGAGGGCATTGTCTTGCACAGACCAGCACTCAGTGGAAAATGAGACCTAGAGAGAAGGGAGGAGCAGGACCTTCTCCGTTCTTGGAATGGTGGTGACAAGGAATGCCATCATGGGCACACAATGCGGGACTGGTGAGTGAACACCTGGTTTGATAGTCATCAGTCCCATGCTTGTAATCACTGGGAGTTGACGAAGGAGCCAGAGGATCCTAATTTAAGGCTGGGGCAGATGCCTGTCAGCCATCATGAAATCCTCCAGCTTCAAGGCACAGGACAACCCTGTGTTCACCCACGCCCTGGACACATGAGCCAGTACAACTCCAGTCCTGTGTCCTGCTGGGTGGGATGGATCAAGCCTAGTCCCCAGCCTAAACCTCCAGTTCTGCGTCTTTTTTTTTTTTTTTAAGTGCCAGCCCTAGGGTTTGAACTCAGGGCCTGGGTACATTCTTGAGCCTTTTCTGCTCAAGGTAGTATTCTACCACTGAACCACAGCTCTACTTCAGGCTTTTTGGTGCTTTGTTGAAGATACAAGCCTTAGACGTATCTTCTTGTCCAGACTGGTTGTGAACTACAATCCTCAGATCTCACCCTCCTGAGTAACTAGAATTACAGGTGTGAGCCACCAGCGCCCTGCTCAAGTTCTCTTTTTTTCTTCTTTTTAAAATTTTTTTATAATCATATTTTTTATTGTAAAGATACTATACAAGGGGTTACAGTTACATGAGTAAGGTAATGAGTACATTTCCTATTGAGCATTATTACCCCCTCCTTTAAGCTCTTCATCTTTTTTTTTTTTTTTTTTTTTGGGTCCGGTCGTGGGGCCTGAACTCTGGGCCTGGGCGCTGTCCCTCAGCTCTTCAGCTCAAGGCTAGCGCTCTACCACTTGAACCACAGCACCACTTCCGGCTTTTTTCTTTTTGCTTATGTGGTGCTGAGAATCGAACCCAGGGTCTCAGGCATGCAAGGCAAGCGCTCTACCACTGAGCCACCTTCCCAGCCCTAAGCTCTTCATCTTAAATGGGGTGTTTCAACTAGAAATACATGTGCCCCATGATACCTGTTGGGTTTGAGTAACTCCGGTTGAACTGGATCTGAAACATCTTGAAGACTTCTTTCAGTTCCAGTGGCTGGGGACCAGGGCCCTGGCACAGAATGGCAGGGAGAGGGGGGAGAGGGGAGAACTCATTGCTGGGAGTCTGCCTTAGCTATACCCCAGCAAGGCTTGAGCATGACAGATGTCTCCCACATCAAGTGTTCCCCCTGAGAAATGGAGGCTAGCTGGCTGTTTCTGAAGAGGAGCCAGTTGTAAGAAGCAGCTTGGCAACACTTACCTGAGCTCCAGGGGAATTCCAGAAGCCATGGGCTTGGCCTGACACCATCAGGACCAGGAGACAGGAGAGCTGGGCTGTCAGTGCCATGGTGTGCAGCCTTGAGTGCTGAATGCAGGGGCAGGAAGCTGTGCAGATAAAGTTGGAGGGGGTAGGGCTGGGGAAACACCCAAGGACATCAGGCTCGGGGTAGCAGGTGGACCCTAAAGCATGCGTGTAGGCTGCCTTCCGGACATTTAGGCCTGCTTAGCTTCTTTCCATCCTCCTTTTTTTTGTCAGTTCCACAGCTCTAGGCCACTCCACTTCAGGGCAACTCTAGGGAG